GGAGTCAGCATTTTGTTCTAAAAAAATCTAGCCTCTTCACAAAGATCCCTGCTTTACCTTTGAATGTTCCTTTAAAGGCACATCCTCTTCTTTAAGCAGGTGCTTCAGAGAACCGCTCTGTTGTGCATGGCCGGCAGGAATTGTCTTGTCTCTTTTGCAGGAGTACAGCAAGCTTGAGGGCAGCCCTACTATTGGATCAGCCCCTCTGGGGAAAGCTCTGCAGATTTTCTGCCCCAAACGTCTGGAGCCCTGGATCCTAGGGCAGGCTGGGGGGGTGTGTGTGTGTGGGGCGTGGCTCAGCGTTCACCAGCCTCAGTCAGAAACGAGGGTGGTGGTTTTACAGGACCGCAGCCCAGCTCCCTGTACGGCCGTGGCCTTTGTGCTGACTATTTGCACAGTCCAGGAAGCACCGAAGCAGCCAGCAGAGGCCAAAACAGTCTGTCCTGGCAGCCAAGCCAGCCCCGGCCCTGTGTGCGCATGGAGATGGTCCCCCGTCATTAGGCTGCCGGTCACAGGCAGAAATGAGGGCCCAGGCTTGCCAGTGGGCCGGAGGGCAGTTCCCTTTTTCCTGGCCTTTTGTCTCACAGTAACTGCTTTTGTCATGTTGATTACAGAACCCTGTGATTTGAAAGGCTGTTGCACTGATCTGTTAATGCTTCTTTATTGCTTTTTAAAAACGATTGGGTTGCACAGTTTGGTGGATGGAGGGAGGGGGTGATGGAAATGGGAGGGATCCAGGAGGGACCTGAAAAGATTGGGTAATGATGGACAAGGTCCAATAGTGATTGATTTTATAAAACATAATGCATGGAAATGACTGTAAGAAACACAATATGAATGAAGAATAGTGTGAAACACAATGTATACGAACTTTGTGAGCAAACTAGTATTTTTTAAAACGTTAAAAAAAAAACCCTGATATATTTTTTAAAAAGTATAATTACCCACTTCCGGGCAAGGGGAGTAGGACTCTAACAGCCAGCCCAGGTTTACCAGCCTCATGAGTAAGAGCAGTGGAGAAACCGCTGTGAATTCATTGTTCCCTAGTGACCTTGTGACCTTGGGTTGCATTTTTTTTCAACCCCTCTGTGTCTTGGTTCCCATTTGTGGAAAATGGATCATGAAAAATACCTGTTGGAGAGACTATGAAGTCAGATACCATCATGATGGCTTAAGAATGTTGAAAGCCTGGTACATCTCAGGGCTGCTTCCAAAAGAATCACAAACTGAGTCTGTTCTCTCACTAGAGCCTAAGATTCTGAATGCTGGCAGGACTGGGAGGGCTTGCTTCTCTGTCTGAGCCTTGGTAGGGCAGTGGTTAAACCATCCTGCTGCTAACCAAAAGGTCAGCAGTTCAGTCCCACCAAATGCCACTCAAGTGAACAATGTGGCCGTCTGCTTCCATGTTAAACACATGGGGGATCAGACATTGTGGGTATTGTAATTAACAACACAGAAAAAAATGTGCATGATTGATTGACGGGGGAGGGGGAAGCTAAGGAAAGGTTTACACGCAGATAGAATCAATCCTGGATGGGTGGTGACTGACGGGTGAGCAAGGAGGGAGGGGCAGCAAAGATTAATAAACAGATAGGTTGAGTGAAGGATAAGACAGTGTATAGTGGGGGCTTGATGAGACATTGTCATGAGCTACATTAATCAATTTTCATTAATCATATAAAACAAAATATATGTGAATGATTGAATGAGAATCAATAAAAAAAGAATTAGAGTCTTGGGAATTCTGAGGGGCACCTCTGAACTGTCCTGCAGCATCAGTGACTCAGAGTCGCCTCACCAGCAGTGGGTTTATTGGGAGATTTGTGGTACGTTCTCTCAGAACGCTTTAAGGGAAGAGCCTTCTCTGTGCTTTCCAGCTTCTGGTGGCTCCAGGCTTGTAGCAGTGGAACATCCCTCTTTGCCTCTCATCTTCACGTGGCTGCCTTTCTTTTGTGAGTGTCGCTCAGTCCCTTGTCCTCTTCTTATAAAGGAAGGTGGGGCCTGCTGGGCCCACCCTACTCTTGTTAGCTAATTCTGCAATGAGTTTCTCAAGGTCACAGTCACAGACACCAGACTTTAGGATTTGAATGTATCTTTCTGCAGGATACACCATCAGCCCTTAACCCCTGCATTACGGACTCCAGCAATCTGGTTTTCTATCTCATGCTTATAAACCTAGAGTAATTGGAAGATCTCCTTCGCTAGGGCTATTGTGAGTTTTAAATCAATTAATATATAGGAAACTCAGAACAGGGTCTAGTACATACAAACCATCACTGTCACATCAATTCTGACTCAAAGCAGCCCTACAGGACAGAGAAGAACCGCTCCATACAAGCTCTGCTGGTGGGTTGCACTACTAATCGATTGTCTCTGGCATTTCAAATCCAGCAGGAGCAAAGCTACGTAGTCTCCTCTGGTTTGAAATTACAGCTTTGGAAACCCAGTGGAAGGTCTATGTGAATTGGAACCACCTTGGCAGCCATGATTGAGTGCAGTAGGGTGATCTTAATAGGTAGTGGTTTCAAGCTACCAGCCTTTTGGTAACAAATGAGTGCTTAACCAACCACACCCCTAGCACTTCTATTTGGCATATACAGTAAGTGGAAGTAAATGTTGTCAGCATGTAATATAATAGTGCATGGTATATGCTGTTGTTGTTACATGTCATCAAGTCTATTCCAACTCATAGCTGATCCTCCAGCCTAACTTATAATAAATACTAAATAAGTGAGAAGTCTTCTTTGACTAAACCCCGCAAAAGGAAAACTTCTGAAGGTGAAACTCCTAAGGTAGATGATGTCTGTTGGGTTTTGTGTTACCACCGGACTTGTAATGTTCTTGTATCTAGAAACACAAATTTGCCCAAATAACCTGTATTGGCTGTTCTGCATGAAAGATATGAAGGAGGAGGAGGAAGTGTAAGGCTTGGGAAGAACATGGGGGTCCCTATAGGTGTGTTCATGGAACCCTGGAGTCCTCAGAAAAGTCCCAGAGCAAGGATGGATACCATAGAGGAACTAAGGCAAGCTCTTAACAGAATTGTTGTTGTTGTTATGTGCCATCGAGTCGCTTGCGACTCATAGTGACCCTATGTACAACAGCTCTAAACTCTGCTCTGTCCTGTACCAATCTCACAGTCTCTGACACACTCATCCCCATTGCCCCAGTCACTGAATCAATCCATCTCCCAGAGGACCTTCCCCTCCTGCGCCTGCCCTCCAGATAACAGAATTATAAAAACTTTATTATTTATATCCTTCATTGTGGTAAAGAAAGAAGATTTAGATCTGAACCTCATCCTCAGAGGACCTGCATTTTGATGAGAACCTTCTGCAGCTGGTGAAGAAAGCAGGATGGTCCCATTGTTCAGTTTGGAGAGATGATAAAGCCATGAGCCCATCAACTCTGTTGAGTTTTCTATCCCTGCTTTTGGGTTTTTATGCATGCTGTTCCCATTACCTAAAATAGTCATCTTGTTCTCCTCAGTTTTTACCTTGCTAACTTGGCAATGGAAGTCGGGAAATCAGAAGACAAATTGCACTGGGAAATCTGCTGTCAGGGACCTCTCCAGAGTACTGAGAAGCAACATTGTCAGTCTAGAGACTAAGGTGCATATGATCCAGGCTGTTACTTGCTATGCATCAGAGGGCTGGACAATGACTAAAGATGGCAGAAGAATCAATGCCTTTGAATTTTGGTGCTGGAGAAGAGTCTTGAACATACCATAGACTGCCAAGAAAACAAATAATTCTGTCTTGGAGAGGGTGAAACTAAGTTTATCCCTGGAGGATAGGTCTTCAAAGCTCTGTCTCAATTACTTTGGGCATGTGGCCAGGAAGGACAAATCTTTGGAGAAGGACATAGTACTTGAAAGGGTGAAGGTAATAGCACAGGAGAAGACAACCCTGAATGAGATGCATTTATACAGTAACTGGAGCAGTGGGGGTAGGTGTGTCGGAGTGAGTGAGACTGGCTCAGGACAGGGCAGGCTTCAGAGCTGTTGTACATAGGGTCGCTGTGAGTCTCAGGCAACTCAATGGCACATAACAGCAACTCCGTGTGACTCATTTCGCACTGCTGCTTTCTGGCATCCCACTGGTAATTACTTCATAAATATTTGATAAACACAGGTTCTCTGGTGAAATAAGATTGAAAAAGGATGAATTAAAGCAAGTCAGACCATACACCATAATTCATGGCAGCACTGTTTGCAGTAGCCAAAATGTGGATCACCCTAAAAATCCAGCAACAGATGAACAAAATCTAGCATATGAAGGAATATTAATCAGCCATTGAAAAAGAAGTCCTAACACATGCCATCACACTCTCCATGCTGCATGAAATAAGTCACTTGGCCAAACTTGAATATAGTAAGGTTCCATTCATGGAACTATAGGATATAAAAACAGGCATATAGAGGCCACAGTTCATTAGTGGTTACAAGGGGGTGGGGATGGGAAAGGGGAGTCATTGCTTCAAAGGCACCAAGCAAGCGTCTGCTAAGGATGGAAAAATTTGGAAACAGTGACGATGATGGTACAACATGTAGAACGTAATTAACGTCACTGAATTATACATGTAAAAATGGTTGAAATGGCAAAAGTTTTGTTACACATATTTTGTAATCACAATGAGAAAAGCAAATCGGAGCCATTTTCCTCTCTGCAGGACTTCTCAGAGGCTCCTGCGCTGGGGCTGTGCCCTGCTGGCTGCTGGGGGAAAGGAAGTGATTGATTGTGCTATCACCCAGTGTTGTTAACCATGGAATTCTTTTCTTCCTGGGATCCAGCGCAGGGTGGTTGTCCTCAGATATACCCCGAGAAGCGCCCGATTTGTTTGCTGTGGCTCTCTCACCACCAAATGTTAGTGCTTCTCAGGATGTAAACAAACAGAAGGCTTGTGATGGGGTACCCGCATTGCAAGAGTTTTAACTGTGTGTCTGCAGCATGGTGCAGCCTGTAATTATGCTTTTCTTCTCTCTCTCTTTCCCCAAACAGAGAAGGAGACCTTCCTGGATCCCTTTGTCCTCCGAGACCTCCTGCCTGCATCCCTGGGCAGCTATTACCGGTACACAGGTTCCTTGACCACCCCACCGTGTAGTGAAATTGTGGAATGGATAGTCTTCCGGAGACCTGTCCCCATCTCCTACCACCAGGTAGACACTAAGTTTCACACGAGGTCCTTGGTTCTACGCGTTTGTGTTAATTGAACAACTGGACACTATTGGAATACTACACTGAAGGGTTTTGATCCTCACCTTTTCCTTCATGCAACAAATATGTTTGAACCCAAGAATTCTAAAAGGGAAGCCTGGGGTCTCGCTCCAAATTAACAGAGTAGCTAAGGAGAATCACAGGCATGAGTTCAGGTCATATTTAAGGATCAGGTCACGAGGAGATACAGGTAGCTATCTTCTATGAAGAAGTGCTGGTAGCATCGTGGGTAAGTGGTAGAGTGCTAACAGAAAAGTCAGCTGTTCTAGCCCAGAAGCTGTTCCACGGGAGAAACATGAGGCAGTCTATTTCCTTGGCCATCCCCTAGGGCTGTTCTGCTCTGTCCTGTAGGCTTGCCTTAAGTCATAATTTACTCCAACAGCTATGTTTTGTGGATTCTCTACAGCGATAATGGAGACCTTGGGTGGTGTAAAAGGCAAACACCCTCAGCTACTAACCAAAACGTTCAAGTTCACATCCTTCCAGATGTACCTCATCAGAACTGTAGAGAGCAGGTCTCTAACACACGTGAGGGGACTGCAAATCAAGGTTGACTCAACAGCAGTTAGTTTTTATGATGAAGATACCCTGTTCAAGGTACTCTTAGACACTCCATATACTTGTTATCCCACTTAATTGATATGGACCACAGTCTTAGGAGGTAAATACTCCTGGTTCCCTTGTGTTACAAAGGAAGAAAGAAACACTGAGGTTGAGTAAGTAGTTCAAGGCCACACAGCTGGCTGCCAACCTATGGCATCTGGCTCCAGAGATTGTGCTTTTAACCACTAAGCCTGCACACAGTCCAAAAAAAAAAAGATTCTCATACATGAAGAGATGACGTTAAAACGTATCATTGATTGAGCTCTCTGTGTAGCAAGATCTTTACTAAGCATTTTATATGTCAGTGTCCAGTGGCAAGACAATGTTAAGAGATTGTTTTGTGACCGTTATGCACATGAGGACATTGCAGGGCAGAGAGAGATGGTGGAAGTATGTCCAAGGATTCATACTTTAGAATGAGGAAGTCAGAAGCAAAGTCCAAGTTCACCTGTCTCCAAAACCCAGGCTGGGTTTGATGAGAAAGCGGCTACATACTGCTGCTCCCTTCTGATAGTGGCCTAGACTGATTTCATGGGAAGGTGAGATAAGTTCATTGTGGTTAGGAACTGATGCCATGAAGAAGGATTGTGAGCAATGTCAAAGGAATAGATGTCACCAGAAGGGGGAGGAGCCTTGAATCCACTTTGAGAGGAATAACTAATGTAAGGAGAACTCTGAAATGCAATATGTCAGTTGTAAAAAATTCACCATGCTCCAAGTGTGGATGAAGTGTAAGATTTCTTCCACATGAATCTAGAAAGTAAATCCAGGATGAGTGGGATAGGATTTCTAAGAAAGAGGATTTGTGTCATTAATTTAGATTGTCTGAAAACTGTCAGAGTCCTCTGAAGATCTGTCCTCAGAATGTCCCACCAAACTTGACAGCTAATTATAAGGACATTGTAGAGAGAATGAAAAATTTTAGAATTGAGATTGCAGTACAGTTTCTTACCACTAGGCCACCAGAACTCACTATAATATCATTGAAGTAATTAAGACACAAGGAACAAGATAATGAATCTGGCCACATGAGGGATAAGCCAAAATCTTCCTTAACCAGAACACAGGGTACAGAGTGGGGGTGGGGATAAGTAAAGTTGCCTAGTGCCTTGTTCAGACCACTTCTGAATTCAAGAAACAAACTCATGTAGAAGAATTATTTCAAAAAAACAAGAAGAACCTCCTGAGATGAAGCCAGTTGAGTCTCATCCTGACCAAGACCAGAACCAGGAAATAGACTGTTCTCTCTTTTAAGGGCCATATGGTGTCTTAAATCTCTAGTGGCCTAGTAGGTAAAGAGCTTCATAACCAACTCAAAGACATGGGGTTCAAATCCACCAACTGCTCTGCAGGAGAAAGATGGACCATCATGCCACGTCCCTCCTATGTGATTTACTGCCCCTGAAAACTGATGTAGAACCAACTACTAATAGCACGTAGCGCCAATGATGCCGTAAAGCTCTGAGTTTCTGTCTCAAATTTGTACTTTTGTGCTTATGTAAAATCCATGTCTCTTCCCTCTCCTCCTGTAGTTTCTCTTGATTGCTTAGCCCAAGATGATTGCTCATGCAGCCAGCTGATCTTTCAACTCAAGGAGTCACTCCCAACGGGCAACAGTTGGAGTCAAGCATAGTGTCTGTTAAGTCATTAAAGAGGATGGAGTGAAAAAAGCCATCCCATGAGCTAGTTAGCCTGGGGCCAGATGTCCATTCTTGATAAAATCAGCCAAGGAGTTGGCTTGGGATAGAGTCCCAAGGCCTACAATGTTGTCCTTCTGGAGGTAAATGGGGAACAGCCTCTACCAGGAGCTATAGATAGAGACATTGTAGCTCTCTCACACTCTAGGTGACATGGGACCAGGTTAGATTTATCTCACCTCTGTTGTCAGAGGTTATACTTTAAAATAAAATATTCTTTTCTTCTATTCATTCTACTTGGACAAAAGAGGAGAACCTGGCAATTTTGTTTTTATCATTTTTCTGCGCAAACTCTAAAAGCCTTAAGAAGATAATGAAATATGAAATGAATTTTCTTCCTAATGGTGAAGCCAAGATTGTTTATTAAAGTCCAGATAGATCTGTAGGGGGAGGGGCTTTTAAAAGATAACACTTTTAAAAAAATATTATATATTGGTTTACTCACAAAGTTCATATACATTGTGTTTCACTCTGTTCTTCATTCATGTTGTTTTTCATACAGTCATTCCCATGCATTATGTTTTATAAAACCAGTCACCATTGCACCTTGCCCATCATGACCCAATCTTTTCAAGTCCCCACTGGATTCCTACCCCCACCACCACCACCACCAAATTGTGCTACCCTGTGGTTTCAGTCCTACCCATCCTCACCCCTCTGCTCCCCTCCTCTCCCCCTTTGAGTCCCATGCATGTTTTACTGGTTATCCTTCTATTTTTACAATAATGGTCTTAATGCATTATTTATCCGTATGAAACTGAGTTAGTTCACTCAGCTTAATACTCTGCAGTCTCTCTCAATTTATGTAGTACTTTTCTAAATCACTGTTCCTGAGTGCTGTATAGTATTCCATTGTGTGAATTTAGCATAATTTCTCATCCCATTAAGTTGTGGTTGGCTATTTAGAATGTTTCCATGATCTTGTAATGGTGAATAATGCTGCTATGAACATTGGTGTATAGATCTGTTTGTGTCTCAGTTCAGTCTCTTTGGGGTATAGTCCTAGTAGTGGAATAGCTGTGTCATACAGAGTTTCTATGTTCATCTTTTTGAGGAAACCCCAAACTGACTTCCAACATGCTTGTACCATTTTACAATCCCACCAATAATGTACAAGTTACCACTTCTCCACATCCTCTCTTAACATTTATTGCTTGTTGCCCTGCTAAACTTTGCTACTGCTACTGGGGTAAGATGGTATCTCATTGTGGCTTTGATTTGCATCTTTCTTATTGCCAGTGATTTTGGGTATTTCTTCATGTGTCTGTTGGGCACCCAAATATCTTTCCATGTCTTTGCCCATTTTATAACTGCGTTTTCAGTCTTTTTCTTCTGGAGGTCCAGGAGTATTTTGCAAGCTTTGCTATGAGACCCTTGTCTGAAATGGTATTGCTGAGTATTTGCTTCTCTTTCAAAAGATAACCTGTTTGTCAGCTCAGGCAAGTGCTCGCTTTCCCCCCCTTTCCCATCCAAAAGATTTAAAGACTAGAGATAATGAGATTGGGAAATAAAAGTTTAACTACTTTTTGGTTGGATGTCTTGTGAGGAAAAGCAGCAAAGAATGGTAGCTGATTAATTGGGTAGAAATAGCAGCCATTGACACATTGTGCTTTATTGCAACTTTAGGTGGTGACTGGGCCAAAGGAAAGGCAGAGTTTGGGGCCTGAATTGTCCTGTCACGTGCTGTCAGTTAGAAGCATTTTAACATTTGGAAAGTGCTTTGTTAACATCTGTGTGTGTGTTTTCACTCCCAGCCACCCTGCCCTGAGAGAGAGCAGTAATGGAAGCATTCTTTCTGTGATGTTCAGTTCCAGACTCTCTGTGGGTATTGTTGGCAATAGTGAAGAAGTACATTAATTACATAGGCTTCCCATTTTCTTTATTGTAAATTGCCACCAGACAGTATTTTATCAGACTCTGATTCATTTGTGTCCCCATCTCTCTTCTCACGGGGCCCAACAGCTCATTTTCACGGGGCGGAACTCTGCAGCACACAGGTCACAGCTGGGTCAGCCTTCAGGAAGGAGAACATTACCCTCCAAGTTTTATCGCCTCAGCCCTCCCCACACGGGTCCTGCCAACATTCTTTCTCAAGTTAGCACAGGGTGTTCATTTCACAACGGCGGACAGCCAGTTCAGAAAATCCAAGTGGTCAGGGATTCCAAGACGGCTTCCTTCCCAAAGAGAGCACTCCTAGTCACGCCTCTGCTACTCCCAGGTCTTTCTCTCCTCTCTTCTCTCTCTCCATTCAGTACAGTGTCTTGTGAGCAGTGGAAACAAGAGCTTGTGCACCAAAAAAATAAAGGGAGGTCACCACAACTGGTGGCGTGTGTGATGTGGAGTACTTTGAAGGTTTCCAGAATAAATAGGAGCCCCCCTTCGTTTGTGTCTTTTTTTTTCTTCTTTTTTGTGACTCATTAGATATTCATACCAGCCCTGTTGCCAGTGAACTCTGCCTCTGGTTTATGTCATAATGTAGAGTCAATAACATGTTGCCTTGATTGGCCAGTAGTTTGCGTGTGTTTTATTTAAGACTCCCTTGAACATCAACTTGAAACATTAGGAAGACATTATTTCCTGGCCTTGACATCCAAACGAAATGGTGCCATTCTCAGTCCTGGTAATTCAGCTCAATTCATTGC